TGTGCCCCTAGGTACTGTGGAGCAGAGATAAGCCATCCCTCCTGTAGCCTGTCCACATCACTGACCTACAGGTTTAATAAAAGTGATTGTTTTACTTTGGGGTGCTACGTTTCACAATACAATGTAATAGGAATACGTGGTGACCAAAGCCATCAGGACAGGTGAACTCACTCAGAAAGAGGGGGGAGAGTGAAAATGCAATAGAGAAAATACTAGAGGAAACCCCAGGCTTTGTGGGATGAGAGAGGTTGAATAGCAAGAAAGGAGAAACAGAAAAATGGCTGCAACAAGAAACAGGGCTACCAGGAGACTGTGGTGTCATGGAAACCAAAAAGGAGACGGTTTCAGGAATAAAGTCCTTGTCAACAGTGTCAAATGCTGCTGACAGGTCAAGTAAGATAACTGGAAAACGCCTTTAGGTTTCAGTAACAAGGGCAGCGGTGACTCAGCAAGAGCAGCCGCTCTGAGAGCAGATAACGAAGTTAGAATTCTTTGAGCAGAGAGGAGCAGGGATAAAGAACAAAGGAGGGGCCGGCCTGGGACAGAAGGAAGGCCACCTTTTCCTGTGGCAGCAAAGAAGAGAGGTGGTGTGCAGATCCGGGGAAGTCTGGCTATTCGATTATAAGGACTCTAGGGAGTTCCCTCCTGAAAAATTCTGCCCCCCTTTACCTGAAGGTTTGAAAAAGAGGCTGGGATCTGTTTGTTTTATGCTCTGTGCTCTCAACTTACCTGGAAGCTCCCTGCCTGGCACCAGCACCCCCTTGTTTTAAACTTAGGCCCCAACATTTCCCATGGTCAGACTGGAGCTGGAACACTTCCAATCCTGCATCTCATCACAGTAGACGGTCCCACAGGGAGCTCAGGGTGAGGATATGAGGGGTGGGGCAAGAGGCTGAAGAGATCGTCGTGGGACCTGACAGACAGTGTGATCCCTGTCCTCCAGATTTAGCCTCCCAACTGTCCTTTCTTGGTGCTTCCTTCAAATTCTTTTGAAGTTGCTAACGCATCTGAGTTGTGTCCCAGGGAACCACAGATGCGGTTCCTGCTCTTGGCATGGGCTAGCATGAGGACAGCAGCAGAATAAAGTGGAGGCACAGGATGTGGTGACTCTTGGGGAAAGCTGCTGGAAAGGATACTCTGTTGACTTGACTCTGATCAGAATCTGATTCAACTAAAGCTCAGCTCAGAGGAAGGACTTGCCCGATATCACCCAGCCACTGTGATGGCGTTGAGCCTGGCTAAAATGTAATTGTGTATTCCTCTCAGTACTTTCCCCATGACATCAAATTGTTGGAGCTGAGGCAGAAGGAAGGCAGAACAGGTGTAGGTTGCCTGTGCCATTTGGGACAACATGGACGGAACTGGAGGACATTATGCTAAGTGAAATAAGCCAGGCACAGAAAGACAAATACTGCACGATCTCACTAAAATGTGGAATCTAAAAGAAACAAACAAAAAAAGCCCCCAAACTTGAATACATAGACTTGGCGTCGTAGTCACTTACCATGTGTATATTTATCAAAGCATCTTCTTATACACCTTAAATACACACAATTTGAAATATAAAAGGCAGGAGGGTCCAGAATGCAGCTTTCCTGTCAACAAGGGCAGGCACCTTTGGCCTCACTCCAGCAGGTGGACACACAATGAATGTTCTTATGCCAATTAGGAGCTATTGAAGCTGAAGAGCAGAGATTCCTGCCCGCAATTATAGGGCCCCTTTAACACAGTTTCCCCAAATTGCTTCCTTCTTCTTACGTTCTCCTTCCTAGTCTTTCCCTCTCCTGCTGGACCTCTTGCAAGGATTCAGTTTTATAGGTCCCGGTCAAGCGCAGCCTAGGAAGCCCTCTGAAAGGCGTCCTAACCCAGACATACCCCGCATAGCCCAGTGGGCTGTGCTTGAGGCTTTCAGAGGGGACTGGTGCTCAAGCTTGCCTTCCTCTCCTGCCTGCGGGAACTAATAGATCATTAAATGAACCTCCATATTTAAAAGCCAACAGGAACAAACAATTATTTCATTAGAACATAAAAGCTATTTGAAGTGGCTTAAAAGAGAGCACATTTATTAGCAGTGCTTGAGAAGGCTGCACATTGCATTTGTTTGTTTCCATCAGTCTCCCCTGATCACGGGTCAGCTAGTCTCCTCTCCAGTAGCACCCTAAAGACTCTCCACACACACAGCTCTGATCTACGTTAGCATTCATTTGTTCAATAAACGTTTGGTGAGTGCCTAGTAGGTGCTGGACACTCTTCCAGCAGCCTCTAGACTGGTACCTTCAGTGAACTGCTGGAGATATTTCTCTCATACTCTAAGTATCATAAAATATTCATGTCTTCGGGTTCCAGTCAGGGGCAGGGTTTCAAACTCCAGGGCAGCTCAGCTACAAAAGGGCTGATGGGAGCACCTTGAGATTTCCCGAGGATAGGGCAAAATGGCTTCAGAAGGATTTTACAGAAACGTGAACACTTAAATATTGGTATCAGGCAATTTTATGAAGAAGGCTGCCACCTGTGTCTCACACTGTTGTTCTGGGGATGTCATTGAGCTGGTCAGGGACTATTGCATTGCCAGGGCTGGAACATGCATCAAGGGTCAGATTGTTCAAGCCCCTGCTTTTATTTTGGACAAGAAAAAAAAATTTTAATGCTCTCCCAAGTGTATTTTTCCTGACTCTGAGGAGACAGGTGACTTCCTCAAGCAGATCTCATGTGATTAGTTACCAGATTTCTGATAACTCTGCAAGAAATAAAGCTCATCATCCATTTCCCAACACATGGCCTAACCACAGAGGCGCTCACTCTCACTCACTCTATCTAATGACTATTGCCTAAGGGAACTATTGCCTAAGGAAAAGAGAAAAGTGAAGATTTTAGAATTACAATAAAAATATCTCTGTTTCTTGGGAGTGGACAAATTCAGCAGAAGAAGCAGTAAAGCTGTTTCCTTCTCTTTCATATTGGGTAATGAGACCCCAGAGTCAATCACAGTTATGTTTTTACAAGGATGGATCCATTCCGGATGACTGTAATGCACTTCTTGCTCTGGGGATACCTTTCCCCAGCTTACTCGAATAGTGTTACGAAATGGAAAATAAAGGTGGAATGGGAGTAGGGGTGACAGTCATGAACATAGTACTGCCCCTGTTAAACAAAAAGTGACCAAAGAAAGATGTCCAGCCCAAGTACAATTCAGAAAGGGTTTAATAAACAGCCGCTAAACATTGCACCAAAGCATTTGGGAACACAATTTCTACAGAGAGGCAAAGGTCAGGCTTCCATTCTAAATTCCTTAAGACAGACGATCATTAACAGCCCCGCCCCCCACCCCCCATCCCCACATATCCACAAGACTACACTCTTCTAGTCATGAATTTACCTACAGACACAGTCTTAGGAATAATGGGACTGGCATGCGTTATCCCAGCAATGGCAAGGAAGCAAGGGATGGGGAGAGGATGGATGAAAAGGCAACCAGCAGCGAATGATACACCCCTTAGAAGCTTTGTTTAGGGGGTGAGCAGAAGAATCTGCTTGTGGTTTCATCTGTGGCTTTACCTTGGGCTTCTAGGACTAGTGCAGTTATTCAGATCCAAAGTGGCTGGGGCTGCCATCTCAGTCTCATTCCCTTGAGCTCAAACTGTTAGAAGTGGTCTCTTGGGTGACACATTGTGACTTTCTAACAACCTTTTTAGAGTCCAACCAAACATGATCCAGAAGGCCTGCTGAGATTGTGCTGATTCTGAGGTCAGTGTGGATCCGGCTGCTCAGTCCTTTCTTCATTTTGGCCTTTGGAAAGGGGCACATTACAGCTCTTTATTAAAGACACTTGAAAGGAGCCTAGACAAATTATTCAAACTTCTGGGACTCAATTTATCTACCTTATAAAAATTTCATGATTATGCTTGTCTCTTTTACTCACATTAAGAACAAATATGATCAAATGACCTCTAAATAATACATTATAAAACTGGTAATAAAGTTAATGATCTAGTTGACTCAAAAAATTGACTAGAGATATTTGTATGAATCTTCCATTCACATGTCATAGAATCGGCATCAGCAGAAGACCGTAGGCTCCTGAAGTGACAGGAGCAAGGTGCCTGGGTCTGGCCAAGGTGTGGAGTGTGGACGGCATGGAAGGAAGTTGCCTTCCACCTGCCGCTGGCCCTCCTCTCTTTTGAGCCAGGCTTCAATCCTCAACTATTGTCTACCCCAAACCTCTGGTCTAATCAAGTATTTGATTAGTTGCCTTGGCAGGGAGGTGACTTTTTTCTCTCTCCCATCTTTAAAAAATTCTTGTGTAGGCATTTGATCTAAATCTTTGTGTTTCTATCTGTATCTTTTTAGTTTAATAAAAAAGACTTGATCTTTTTTCCTGAAGAGTTTGCAGGTGGTAATAAGTCCAAACTAAGCAGTGCCCAGCTGGCTACAAGGAGGCCAAAGGCATTGAGGAAAGAGGAATTTCGTGGAGGAGATATATACCAAGGACGGCACTATTTTCCTGAGGCGCTGGACATGGCAGGGCACCAGTCATCTTGGTGCCAGGTTGGCCTACCTAAGTTATCTTTATTTGGGCCAGACACAGTAGAACATAGTGACCCTCAATTGTCTCCACTAATCTCCAGGCTAACAAAGGGGTCAGGAGCCATGTTCAGAGGTCAGAAGTGGCTCCCACCTTTGCTATCATACTTATGCCTGTGGCCCTAATGTAGGCAGGGGAGGTGGCAGGCAGGACCACACGGCAGGTAGGACCAAACCTGGCTTCCTAGTAAGTCAGAATTATCTGATCTGGACCAGTCAACAATTCTCCTCGGTCTGGACCTCTCAAACAGCCGAGGGAGTAGAAACTCTTGTTCTTTCTACAGTGAGCAGAGTACAGTAAAATACATGCAGTGCCCTCAGCTGGGGAGACTGAAAGACTAAGATGAGTAACTGGACAAATGGCAGTGTTTGACGATGGGGGTACACTCAGCAATGTTAAAAGGGACAAGGAATTTTTTTGTGGTTGTTTTCTTCATTGAGATTCATAAATATGAATTGAGAATCACAGCTTGGTAGAGGGTTAAAAAGAAGAATCCTGAAATACACGAAGGGGAGCCTGGAGGTTGGGATGCTTCGTGGGGTATACAGTGCTCTGGTTGCTGTGCTGCCACCACTATCTACTGTTTGCGAATCATGCCCTTGATAGCTGACTCCCGGTTGACATAGGTGGCCCAATAGACCAGATTGAATATGGCAAAGAGAACAGGAAAGATGATGCGGGAGATTTTGTCGACCTTGCTGACACTGTTGTAGGTCTTCGTCTCAGTTGGGCTGTCCTGCACATAGGTGGCCTTGGGCGAAGCAATGATGGTTGGGGTTGAGGAGGCACTGGGAGTAGCGCCCTTGGAGATGGTGGAGAACTCAGTATCCTTGGCCAGGTTGATGGGATAGGTGGTCCCCACGATGTTGAAGGTGGTGCTGGTTTTCTTTGTTGGAGCTGCTGGTGTTTTCTTCTAGAGTTCAGGAAAAAGAGGGGAGAGGGGAGAACAAACAACAGCTAATTAACTACTTACACAAAGAACTTTTAAAGGCTGCAGGGAGGAGCAGCCAGGAGAGAAGGTAAGAAATGGGGGCCATGAAGCCAGTAACCCTAAGAAGCCAGGTTTGTGTCTGAGGAAGACGAATTCAAAAGCTGAAAACTTGTATCACCCTGGCTTTTGAGCTATAAGGCTTTGGCTAAGTCATTTTTCCTTTTTGAGCCTCTTTTCTTCATCTACAAAAATGAGAATCAATACAATCTGCAGGGTTGCTGAGAGGATCAGAAGAGAGAATGGCAGTGCAAGTCACTGATAACCTGTGGAATGTTGTCACATGTAGGATCTTGTATATAACGTGATTGGATCCTCACAGCAACCCAGTGAGGTAGGCACGTGAGATTACTCCCGTTTGACAGGTGAAATAACTCCCACTAAATGGCAGAGCCTGCACTTGCAATACGGGCTCCCGACTTTTATACAGGGCTGCACTGTGCTGCTTTCTATAGGCATGAGACACTTGGTGGTTACCCGAGAAATAACTCCAAAAGGCCGCGACCATCAAGTGGCACACCTCCTGTGAGGAAGAGAGCTTGGTGAGTCTGAAAAGTCATTTCGTCTTAAAGACACATGCGTCACCACAACAGCACCCCACCCTTCATGCACTGTGACCATGTTCAGCAAGCTCAGGGGCACACCAAGATTTCTACAGCCCCCTACAGGGCTATGCATATGAGCCCTCCGACCCAGCAAAGGCAGAGACATCTGGAGGGTTACTATGATACTGTCTTATTTTTTCAGAGGAAAACAACCCAAACACCTGGTGGGGAGCTAGCACAGCCACATGTGCCCGGCTGCTCTCTCTTATACCTCTCCTGGGCTGTACAAGGAGCCTTACGGGGACTTTTTTCATGCAGAAGACAGGAGAGGAGACAGTGCTCGGGATCAATTGTGGATCAGAATAGAGAGGCTGAGGAACAGGGGAGGCCAAGGGAGCAGCCCAGACCCAGACTCCGGCCAAAGGCAGCAGCTCTGCTCACGGTCTGCAGACTGTTTATGGCTTCACTCCTCACTCTGGCCTTTGCTGCCTTCTACTTCTCTTGGACTGAATGGAAAAGTAGGTACAGATGAGCTTGAGACATGCCCTAATTTCAGCCGCCTCATGTGCCCATCTTTCATATTATTTTGCTTCCCAGCACCTAGGTGTTACCCTGCCACTTCCTACCTGTTTCTTCCCTGCCTTTCTCCATTCCCACCTTCTCTCACTGACCCCTTACTCCTAAGCTCTTACATAGCTTTTTCTTCTTTACTTCAGAAGCCCCATCCTTTTTTATCTCTTGTCTTTTATACCTCACTGCCATTTCCCTTCCTGATCCTAATAATAACTTTTGCCCAATATTTACTGAATGTGTGCTGGGCCAAGAACTATGCCAGATGAGTAGAAAGGTTAAAACATGAGTCAGCATCAGTCCCTGTCTTCCAGGAGCTCACAGTCCAGTGCGGGAGAGAGCCTCACGAGCACATCATCATCATATAACGTGATCAGAGTCCTAACAGGACTGAGCAAAGTGCTATAAAAGTTCGGCTGATGGAGGGACAAAGTATCTGCAGGTGTTGGAAAAGGTGGCTCAGAGAGGCAATGAGGTTTGCAGTCTGGGTCCTAGAAGATGAGTAGAAGCTGTCTCATCAGACAAAGGTGCAGCAAAGGGCCGTGCACAGGCCAAGGGCTCTGCTTTTTTGAGGAATGACAAGAAGTTTACCAAAGTTTGGTCATAGTGTATATGGCAGAGTTGCAGGAACTGAGTCCATACAGACAGGCTTTGAATGCTGTGTTCTCTTGTTTGCCTGCCTATGCCGGCCTCTGTTTGTCATCAGCAAGTGCAACAGGTTATGGGGATGTTTGCTTAAATAAATGACCAGTCTGACGAATAGGGCATTTTAAAAGCAATATCGCTCTTTCTCTTTGAGGATTACAGTCACATTGCTACAAGTGGAAGGGAGACAGAAATTGAAAGCTTCTAAGAACCTTGTAAATGCTTTAAATACTACATGGGACTCATTTATAATTAGCAAATTCATTGTGTGAATAGAGTCCTGCTGCTAAATGTCTTTGCTATTAAATAAAAGAGTGTTTTACTTGTTTGCCTGCTTACTTATTAATTTGCTTAGTAATCTCTTTTCCATGGGTAGACTAAAAGAACAAAAAACAACAAAAAAAGGAAATAAAGAAAAGGAAAAAAGGAAAGAAAAAACCCACTCCCCTGACTTTGCTAGAAGGTTTCACATATGTTATTTCATTTAGTCATTTCAGAAGCTTGTTACGACCAAGTCTCTGAACAACAAACACTTTCTTCAGCTCCAAAGGCACTTTGTGTTCTGTAACTGGGTAGAAGCAGCAGTTGATTTAATCACAGAGTTTTTAAGTAACAAAGAAAGATTACCTTTTCATTTTTCTCATCACTTCCAAGATGAAACATTTTAATCAGTCACTATATATTTTTCCTAAATTGTCAAAGAAGGAAATCAAAGCAAAAGCCATAGAGTTGAGAAGACAGATGCAGAAGACAGAGATAAATACTTCATGCACGTATTTCCCATTTCTGCATCCAGTTTTCCAGTACTTCTCCTTGTTCCATGCAGACTAGGTTGACACAACTTTGATTGAATTGTCATTCTATTCCTACCTTCTTAGCCAAATTTCTGGCTCATAGGCACATGGTGGATGTTTACCGAATGAAAAAATATCTCTCATTAAAAATGCTCAATATGATTTCTGGTTTCTTCATCCTGAGTCTTAATCTCTGCTACATAGAGAACATCTCTCTATAGTTCTGCCTGGGGTTGTTTCCACATTAAAAAGCTGAACTCAACTCCTCCAAATTCCCCAAGCAGTCTGACAGTCTGACTCCAGGATAAGAACACCTTTCTTTCCAAAAAGCCATTTCATGTGAGTTTTTGGATGAGGCAATAAAATCTTTTATAGACAAATGCATGTCCAACTCAAGAGTATTCCTGAGACGACCTTCCTGTAAATTGTCTCTAATTAAAGGCTTAGTTTGGACACCAAATTTACCTGAAACACAACTAGGACCTCACAGTGTATGAATACCTGGTCCAGTGCCTCTGTGTCAATCCCTGTATAGGCACCTATATTTCCTTAACCCCTGTCTCCAGAAGTGGGGCAAAGCAATGAAGTTTATGCTATATGGAATTCAAAGATGAATACAATTAACAACACAGAAAAAAAAAACAAATTAAAAAATGAGCCAAGGACTTGAATAGACATTTCTCCAAAGAAGATATATAAATGACCAATAAGTACATGAAAAGATGCCCCAGCATTATTAGTCATTAGAGAAATGCAAATCAAAATCACAGTGAGACACCACTGCACATCCATTAAAATGGTTTACTATCAAAAAAACTCAGAAAATGTCAAGTGTTGGTGAGGATATGAAAACACTAAAATCCTTGCACATTATTGGTAATGTAAAAATAGTATAGCCACTATGGAAAATGGCATGATCATTCTTCAAACAATTGGAAATAGAATTAGCATATAATCCAGTGTTTCTACTTCTGAGTCTATCACTCCTCAATTGACAGCAGAGTCTCAGAGAGATATTTTTACTCCCATGTTCATAGCAGTATTACTCATAACAGCCAAATGGGGGAAATAACCCAAGTGTCCACTGAGAGTAGAATCAACAAACAAAATGTGGTCTATACATACAATGAAATACTATTCAATCTTAAACAGGAAGGAAATTCTGACTCATGCTACAACATGGGTGAACCTTGAGGACATTATGCTAAATGAAATAAGCCAGTCACAAAAGGACAAAAGCTATGTGATTCCACTTCTAGGAGGTACCTAGAGTTGCAAATTCATAGAAACAGAAAGTAAAATGGTGGTTGCTAAGGCCTGAGGCAGAGAGGAATGGGGAATTGTTTACTGGGTCCAGAACTCCAGTTTTGCAAATAAAAAGATGGCAAGTTTTTTTGTTACATGTATTTTACCACTGAATCAGAGACTCTGCTCTCAGGAAATATACTCTAGTGAGGAATATTAATTAAAATAAAAGAATTAAAATATAAAAAAGCACAAATCAGAAACACTCAGGCATAAATAATAAGTCAAGGGAATTCAAAAGAGAAAGGAAGCATTCTGGATTTGGAGTGGTCAGGTAAGCCAATGGAAAGGAGAGAAAATGCAGGTGGAAGAAAAGTAATCACTTGTACCAGTTTCCTGAAAGGGTAGGAGGTACTCGGAGCGTTAACTGGTAAATTGCACACGTCCAGATCACAGCTGAGAAGGAAAGAATGGGTGACAGTCAGAAACTATCTATGTTTTGGTGGGGAGAAAGGAGACAATAAGCTGAGGCGGATCTCATACAGTGACTTCTACATTCCCCAAGAGGAAGGTGAAAAGAATAATAAACATTTAAAATAGGTCATGTAGGAAATTAGGGTCATAGAGAAGGACTGCACACACTAGTTGAAGGACCAGCAGCATTCCAAAGTATATACTCACAAACATCACCAGTCCATCAACACATGTGGAATTGCTTCAGAGAGCAGTAGAGCCCTTGGACAGAAGTGACTGGGGACTGCAGTGATATAGGTGATGGGAGCTATGCTGAACAGAGAAGCAAGGGAGACAGTGTGAATCACTCACTCATTAGATATTTACTGAGGGTTTCCTATGTGGCAAGTTCTTTGCAGCAGCGAACAGTAAAACATGGCCCCTTCCCTCAAGGAGCTCAAATTCCAGTGAAAGGGACAGGTAACAAGCATAGAAGCAAAGAAATGCATACAATGATGTAACGTCAGGAGGTGGGAACGACAATGGAGATTCCTGAAGCAGGGCCGGAGCAGAGAGACGTGCTGAATGCTAGGCAGGAAGGTCTCTCTGAGAGGGTGAGCAGACACCGGAGTAAAAGAGAAAGGCTAGGAAAAGGGGTGAACAACAAACATTT